AATACATTATTTTTAAAAAAATTTTTCTCTTCCATATTTTTTTATAGTGAGATTTAACATGCAAAAACATTAAAGAAAATAAAAAACAAAATCCTATATAAGGAAGACAATTTAAGGTAAATATAATTTTCGATGTTTTCTTTCAAATTAATAAATATACCACACGAAGTCTCGGTTTATGACATACTTTGGGAATTTACTTATGATTGTGACGTCCAATATACAAGAGAACCTACCAGTGGAGATGTCTCTTTTGAATTTTTTAGTTTAAAAGAGATGCTACGTTATTTTGAACAATTGGACGGAAAATATTTTGCTTATAAAGATTTAGAGTTTATACAACTCCAATGTATATTTACAAAAATATAAACGTGTCATTTTTATTTTTAAATGCTTATGTGATATGTTATAAAAATTATCAATAAATGGACATAAAATTACCTGATTTCACACCTTATAAGTTTCCAAAACTTATTGGACCACTCACTGAGATTTACTTAGATAGAGTGTTAAGTTACTTTTCGACCAGCACATTACCGGACTCCGTTAAAATAAATACTTTACTTAATAATTTATCTGATGATGTGTTTGATAATATTAAATCAATTTGTTCAAATACCGAGATTTTAGATCTTAAGATAGTGATTAAGAAATTAGGATACCTATTACCAATACAAGATAAAAATATTTTAATCAATAAATTCAACTTATCATATCAGAATTCGAGTGAGAACTTCATGTAATGGTACATTAGAGTATCAAAGTTGCATAAAAAATGTGATTTTTTAGATGATCATCGAAAAAAGAAAAATTAAGAACGTCCACCTTAAATGATAAAATAAAATATAAATTTTGTAAAATTACTAATTTAACCTTAAACGAAATGGTGGAGATAGGAAGTAAATTAGATAGTATTAATGATAAACCAGATATTGATAATATAAGTTATATGAATCACGACAAAAAGTCTGATAAAGATAAAAACTTTAACAATAGAAATAGAAATGACAATTATTTTAAACCTGATAATAATTTTAGAAATAATTTTAGAAATAATTATGATAATAGAGATAATAATTATGATAATAGAGATAATAATTATGATAATAGAGATAATAATTATAATAAGAATAGAAATAGGAATTACGACAATAATAATTTTAGTTACTATGAAAGGAATTACGGTAATTATAATTCTAGATACCAAGATAATTATAATAACTATAACTACAACAACTATCGCTATAACAATAATAATCAATCCAATTATGGTAGAAATAATACATGGCATGATAATAATCAAAGAAAACAGATCCAATATGGTGACGGAAATCGTAACAATAACCAATCCTATAGCAACAATTCAAATAATTATAGAGGTAGCGACAACAGTCAGAGAAAGCAAATACAATACAATAACAATGATTATAATATGAATATTGAAGAAATTATTGAAGAGAAAATCGACTGTACAAAGAACAAAGATGATAACGATTTTAATATTAACAACTTATCTGAGGACATGCTTAATAATAAAGATAATGCATTTATGACTACTTTAAAAGTGAATGATATTGTTACAACTTTGCAAGTCGACACAGGTTCCAAACATACTATCATACCTCATGGTCTGGCTTAAAATCTTGGTATTAGAGATGTTAAGAAATCTGAGTTACAACTTACCACTTATGACTGAAATTTAATTAAGATCATCGTCATTACACAAGTTAAAGTGACTTATGAAGATATCTCAAAATATTTACAAGCGGTAGTAGTTGAATCAAGGAAAAATGCCTTGTTGGGACGTACATGGATCAACGCTTTCAAAAATATTTTAAATAAATTTATAGCAAATATTGACACTAATTACGAAGATGAAGTAAAAAGATTGATTAAAAAGTGCGAATCCAAATTGACTAACGGGCCAATCAACAAAGCAAGTGTAAAGTTACATTTAAAAAGAGATGCCCAACCTAAAATTATCCCGCCTAGACGTATTCCTTATTCAAAAATTGATCTTGTGAGCAATGAACTTAAAAAATGGATACATGATAAAATGATTGAGCCGGTGAATGATGTCCGATGGGCAAGTCCTATTACCGCCGTCTACAAGGATGATGAGAGCATTAGGCTTTGTGCTGATTTTAAGGACACTGTAAACCCAGCTCTAGAAGATTTCAGATACCCTCTACCACGAATCAATGATCTAATAGCTAAACTTTCAGAAGGAAAGAAATTTACGAAGATTGACTTTAAAAATGCTTTTTTACAGGTTAGGATTGATAAAAGTTGCAGAAATATTTTAACTATATCTACGCACAAGGGATATTACCGATTTACTAGACTTCCTTTTGGGCTTAAGACTTCATCTGCAATCTTCCAACCAGTGGCCCCTACACTTTCTGAGCGAATGAAGCAGAATACACCCCTGAAAGGTACCCCCTTGAAAAGTACCCCCCCCCCTCAAAAAAAGGATAATTATTTTATGACACCCATAAATTTCAAAAATAATTTTTATTGCATCAATTTTTAATATATAATATAAATAAAATGCAAAAAAAATTACTTTGTAAATATTATTTTTAAATTAATAATTTAGATAAATTAGGGGAAGAGTAAGCGAATTTATAATTTCATCAATATTTAATTGTTTAAATAAATTTTTTCCCATTGATAATATGGTTAAATTATTAAGAAATGAATCTTTCACGGTATTACGAAGTCTTGTTTTAATTAATTTAATTTTACTCATGACTCTTTCGGCAGTACATGAGGTTGTAGGAAGTGCAGCATAAAACACTCCTATTTTAAAGCTAAAAAAAATTTCTATATTTAATGATGAAAGTATACCTCTCATTTTTGGAATGTAATGTTTGAAGTCTAGAACTTTCAAAATCAAATAGGTAGATTTCTATCCTTCATAAAATCTTGTACCTTTGAAAAAACATCCAAAAATTCAGTGTTATTATTTACAGGGTTGGGCAGTATCGCGGATACTTGTATCTTTTTTAAAATTTTGGAAAGTATCTTGTATCCAATATCTAAGATACATATTATTTAAAAGTATTTGTATCTTAACTAACTTTGTATTCAAAAAGATACAGATACTTTAAAAAAATTTATATTGGTTAACCCGTTACTGGTTAACGGTGCATATATGCACCACCTCCTATATACCTTATTTTAACATAGTAGTTTTTTTTAAAAAATAATAAAAAAGATTTTTATATAGTTCAGACATTGTACTTCAAAACTGGAAAAGAAAAATATGAAAAAAATATTTTTTTATGCCCCTAAGAAACCCTCAAACTTTGCGAATTTATGAGGTCTAAAATGCAAAATTTTCTAAGTGATCTCACGAGCATATTATAAAATTATTTCGATGAAAACTAGTGTGTATATATTCTTTATAGATATATCAATATTTATCAATCATTTTTGAATTTTTAAATAATTAATATTTTAGTAGGTAACCACATAAAGTTGACTGGTGCATATATGCACCGTTAACCATCTAGCAGTATATATTATTTAAAAAAATTCAAACAAATGAAATTTAACATAATGAATTATAATTTTTTATATTATACTTAAAACCACTACCGTCACTAAGGGTGGGAAGGGGAGGGGTGGGTGGCTCGAGCCCCTTAAGAATTTTTAAAAAAAATTTTATACCCAAAAAAGACCTTTTGAAAATAATTTAAAAAAATTTTTTCCCCCTGAGATTAAATCGAATAATATATTGTTCCTATTATAATTTTTTATCCCGATCAAATTATATGAAATTATTAGGTTCATAAATATTCAAAAGTTTAAAATTATTTTTAGCCTCTTCCTTTCTGAAGATTTTATTTTATTTATATAAAATATTATGCACCTGTTTTGTCAATTCAATCAAAATTATCAAAATAATAGATGACTAATAAAAAAATCAAGATTCTACGAAAATAATTTGTCTAGATATTTAATTTTTAATAAATTTTTTTAATGAAACGTTTTCTAACAATTGAACAAGCGCTTGCTCAACTTTTTGAAGAGGAACCAATTGAAGAAAGAGATATGGTTATAATTCCGCCAAACCCCTCTGCAGTTAGTGATGAAGAAGATTTCGATGAAAATGACTTAACAAATGTCGGAGTTTTGCCTTCAGATACAGCTGGAGAATTGGAGATTCATAATTCAGTTGATGACGACCTTCCAGAACCATATTCTACAAGAAGCTATTCTCGAATTTCTCATAATTTAAAATGGAGAAAAACGGATGCAATATATTCTTCAAGCCCTTTCAATGGAGAAAAGGAAGATGTAATAAAACTTGAAAATGATTTACATGGTAAAAGTCCATCAGATATATTTTGTTTAATTTTCGACGAAGACTTATATTCCCTAATTGTAGAACAAAGTAATATTTATGCTAAACAAATGAATAGACCTAACATATGCATAACCATCCAAGATATTCAGAGATTTATTGGAATTCTATTATTTACTGGTCATTCTCTCCCACAAGAAAGAATGTACTGGTCTAATGACAGCGATATTTCTATTCCAATAATCCGGGATACAATGACCCAATTACAATTTCGAAATTTGAAATATAATATCCATTTGGCAGACAATACTAAAATAGATATACATGATAGATTTTATAAAGTTAGGCCTTACATTAATATATTGAATAATAAATTTCAGCAATTCGGAATTTTTAAACATCATTTATCAATAGATGAACAGATGATACCATATCGAGGAAGACATTCTTGCAAAATGTTCATAAAAGGAAAACCAATTAGATTCGGATACAAGTCTTGGATATTGGCCTCGACGGTTACGTATTCTCATTTGATATATATCAAGGAAAAAGCGAAAATAAATATGAATATGGATTAGGTGGAAATGTAATCATAAAATTATTAAAGGCATTGCAAAAACCAAATTATCATAAAATATATTTTGAAAATTTCTTTACATCATTTAAACTCTTGTCATACTTAAAACAAATGGGATATTTTGCAACTGGAACTGTGAGGGATAATAGAATAGAGCATTGCCCAGTTGAATCTATAAAGGTTGTAGCAAAAAAAGAAAGAGGATATTATGATTATAGGTTTGAAAAATTAAGCGAAACATTTGTAGTTCGTTGGAATGATAATTCGGTGGTGACCGTTGCATCGACATGCCACACTATCTCTTTGCTTTCTAATGTTTCAAGGTATTCTAAGAAAATATCTTCTAAAATAAAAATTCCTCAGCCAAATATGGTAACTGCTTATAACAAACACATGGGTGGAGTTGATCTATGTGATAATCTAATATCTACATATAGAATAAAAATAAGAGGAAAAAAATGGTGGTGGCCAATATTCACCAATTTTATTGATGTAGCTTTGGTAAATTCATGGAAAATCTGGAAATTCGTGAATCGGGATGACAAGAAGAGTTTGCTTGCATTTAGACGAGAAGTTACTAACTACCTCCTTCGAACGCCAGTAAAAATTGAAAAAAATTCAAGTACAGGTCACGCCAGCCAGTTTGCATTACAGTGTGAAAACCTTATTGATTCATCTGGACATTATTTATCCAAAATTATAGATGGAAAAAGACGAAGATGCAGATATTGCCATACGCACTCAAGATATATGTGCCAAACATGTCAAATCGCACTCCATATTAAATGTTTCAAGGATTTTCATAATATATAAACATTTTCTCGTTTTTATTATAAATTACAAAAAAAGAATAAAGATATTTGTTGTTTTTTTGATCTTATAGTATTTTATATAATTTTTATCTTTTTTAACCTCTTAATGGTTAACGGTGCATATATGCACCAGGCTAGATTTTCTATTTATGATTATTTTTTTTGGCTGATTTTTTTAGAATATCATATTTGAGCATTAATCAATATAATTTGAAAAAATTGAGCATTTTTATCCACTAGAAAAATCTTGACCATTAATGGGTTAATTTAAATAGTATTAAAATTTAAAATGATATTGTTTTAAGATTTAAATGAAAAATTTAATTAAAATATAGATATTTTAAGATAATTTTTGATATATGACGTTGGTCGTCATATGGCAATTTGCTAACAATTAGAACTACCATATTTGAATCGTTTTATATCTGTCTATTTTAAAATTATGGAAGAAGAAAATAGAATAATATGTTTATCTTCGTCTTCAGATGATTCTTCAACCGAAAATTATAACAATAAATTTAAACTAAGCATACTTAATGGCAAATTTTTTGAAGTACTTCAAGATGATCATAATAAAGAAATTCATCGTGACTTTGGTATTGACGAAAAAGTTATAGCAACTGTTACAGATAACGGCTCTAACTTTAAGAAAGCTTTCAAGAAGTTTGGATATTCTATGGAAGCTGTAGAGAATGACTTTGACATCAATGATGATGAATGTATAGAATTCCAAATCATTGAAAGTATTATTTAATACTTCTTTAAAATTTATTATGATATTGTAAATTTAGTAAAAAATTTTATTCAAATAAAATTATTTATTTGTTTATTTAAGGGTCTAAAGAAGCCTCAATAACACTGCCTTAACACATTCGTTGTTTGTGCCATACGATAAGTCTAATTGCCACAACAGATGTCGAGAGAGCTATTAAGGATTCTCCTAACATTTTAAAATTCATCATCCTGCAATAGCTAAATGTACTAAGCTATGGAATGCAAATAATAGGCCTAAAACTGCAGAACTTATCAAAGCAGTTTTAGGAAAACAATTAGTTACACCTTGTTTCACTAGATAAAATAGTTTGTATGATAGTCTTCATAGTTTATTAAAATAAAGGCGAACTTCCTAAATTATGTCAAAATTAAAATTTCCTAAATTAAGAGATATTGAAATTCAACATTTAGAAGAATATTGCAATATAATGGCCCCATTGGCTATAGCGATTGAAATACAAAGTGAAATCAACTGCTATTATGGAGAATCAGCTCCAATTTTGAATGTCGTTAAAAAAAATTACAAATTTAATTCAAACCATTCTACAATTTTGCAAACTATTAGCTATTGCCATAGAAAATTATTTAAATAAAAGATTTAAAAATATATATGATTTTGATAACAATTTTAAAAGTGCATTTTTGGCAACTATTTCTCATCCCTATTTTAAAAATCGTTGGATAAATGGTGAAAAAGAAAAAAAATACCTTCAGGATTTACATGAAGTTTTAATTGTTTTTAAAAATAATATTGAAATTAATACTTCAACAAAATCTTCAATTGATGAAGGTGATAATTACTTTTGCCTTAAAAGTAACACATCCAATTCTAATAATTCAATAAATGATATTGAAATAGAGGTCCTAAATTATATGAAAGATGACAGGCGGAGTAAAAATATGTTAAATAGTTATAAATATATAAAAGATATTTATTAAATATAACACAATATTACTCTCCTCAGCCCCCGTTGAAAGATTATTTAGCTTTGCTAATATGGTTAATACACCAAATCGTCAAAGATTGAACGATAAATCATTTGAAAAATTAATAATATTAAAAAATAATGCTGATTTATGATGCTGATTTATTATTATTTACTAATTATATAATTATTGAATGGAATATCGCATTATCTTTTATAATAAATTTGTTATTTTCTACAATTTATTTTAAATATTTTTTTATAAATTTATATTATAGATAAGAAAATAAAGCTTTATACATTTTGATTTTGACTATTTAAAGTTTTTAAAAAAAGTATCTTGTATCTTAGATACTTTTTTTTAAAAAAAATACAAGTATCTTGTATCTTATATCTTATTGAAATTTTTCTAAAGTATCTAGTATCTTGTATCTTAAATACAAAATTTTATAAAGTATCTGTATCCTAATACAATTTTCTGAAAATTTGCCCAACCCTAATTATTTATTAGATTAAAAAATAATTAAGACGATAATTTATAATATACTTCTCAAATTAATCAAGCAATCTTTTGCCAATTGAATTTGATTTATTGCAAACCCTATATCCTTCGAAATGGTTTGCAATTTTCTACATATCCAAAACACAAAGTGATAAGATAAAATCAAATTTTTCTTTTCTAAAGACTATAGCACCTGCCATAGTGGAAGTGGCAGGATCTTCAGAATTCTTTAAATTTGTTAAAGCTGTCCTCAAGGCATCATAAAGTAAAAAAAAATTTACAATAGCTTTATATGACGATAGCCAGCTTCTAAATGGAAAATTATTTTAATTCTAAATAAATAAGGTACTATTACCGAGTGGTATTCTTGATGCAGAAATCGTTGCGATTTTTTCAGATCATTACACTGACATTTTTTGAGTACCTCATATCTTTTTACACCATTAAAATAGATATAAATCTCATCTAGTATTCCTAGAACATTTCGAAGTTCTTTAATTGATTGGCATAATTGAACAAGGATTAAATTTAATTGATGACAATAACACCAAATAAAAGCTGTTTTGGCGCCTCTGCTCTAATCAAGGCCTGCACACCATTGATTCTTCCACTCATGTTTGAGGCGCCATCATAACTTTGCCCAACTAGAAATTCAAGGGGATAATTCATCGAGCCGAGTTTGGATATTATATTATGCTTAATATCGAGACCTGTGGTATTTCCCGTACAATATATGTCAATCAGTCTTTCAACAGGCTTCGGCGTCTCACTATTTTCAACATATCTTACTATCAAAGTTATTGCTTCTGATTTCGAAACATCATATGTGTCATCAACTATGATTGAAAAGCACCTGTTAAATGTAATCTCATTTTGAATTTTTTTTATAACCATATTATGGTTTCAATGAGAATATTTATGTTATTATATGATAATAGATTTGAATATAATTTCGTTTTTAATCCCTTATTTTTTTTATCCCCTTTTCTTCCTTCATTTTGTTGTATATACATTTTTAGTACAGGTTCAGAATCTGCAATAAGTTTAATAAGGGCCATCATATTGTCTTCTTGTTGCCTGTTCCCCCAGAAGGCTGGGTTATGAGATACTAAATAATCTAAACATCTTATTATAATTCTTATGACAGAACGGTTATTATCTACACATTTATTCTGGGGTGTTATAAATTTTAATATCGAATTTTTATTGTGAGAAAGCCTCATAATCGGTCATCATATGTGCCTGTGAAGATTCATGCAGAATATTATCACGATTAATATTCTGCCATTTATCTAGACCTTCACATGTACATTTTGAATTTGTGTGTGGACCTCCAAATAAGAGACATGTTAAGCAAAAAACTTTATTCATTTTAATACTATAAGTAATCCAATTTCTAGCTATTTTGCTATTGTCAATATTAGTTTTTTCATAAAAGCTTTCGTTTCTGTTTCTATTATTATATCTTTGGAAAATAAATAATGTGTAGGTTGAAGAGCTCCTAATTCTAGATATTTATCAATTATAAATTTGTCAATTCTTTTTCCAACAATATTGATGGGATCATTTGATTCCTAAGAAAAGGGAGGGAGGGAAGATAAGATATTTAAATTAAAATATCTACTATCTATTCATATTATGCTTAAAAAATAAGTAGAAAAATTTCGGTCAAGATATATTAAATTAAATATTAAGTGGGGGGGGGGGGTCTTATTATTACATTTATAAACCAGAAATCACTTGATCATGATGGATGTAATGTAACAAAACAATAAAAGAATTAAATAATAAAGAAAATTTTAAAAAAATTAAAAAAAATTTTTTTTTTTAAGTTTAAAAAAAAGTTTTAAAAAAAAAGTTAAAAAAAAATTTTTTATTTAAAAAAAAAAAGTACCCCCACTCAAATTTACTGAAGCAGTTGCTTCGGACTCCCCCCTTGTAGGGGGCACTGCTTCCAACAGATCATGGACCCATCGGTGACATGGAAGACGTCATATTTTATATTGATGATTTACTTATACTGGGAAAAACGATGAAGCCCACCTTAATAACATAAAAAAAGTGTTTGATAGAATATCATCGTTTGGGCTAGTACCTAACTTCAACTAAAGTGTGTTCTTTAAAAATAAAGTGAGGTTCCTGCAGCGTCTACATGACAGGATTTTTATTGGATGCAAACCCCCTTCAAAAATCTTTGCCCACCCCCCTAAAAAATCACCTCCTTCGGGGGCGGTGTCTCTTTCCTATTATTTTCACCAATTTATTTATTGATACTCTTTTCAAAGAATTTATAAAGGATAACTTAAATTAATCTATCTCTACTAACAACTATCTATATTTTGTGAATATAAATAATTTATTTTTTAGATAATAAATTCAATTAAAACCTCCATTATTTACAATCAATTAATTATTATGGCATTATAAGCTTGCTAAAATATCTAAACCTTTTAAATTACATTTAAAAGGATAGTTTATTTGGAAAACAATGTGTATGATTGTTTGCAATATATAGATTTGGTTGATGAATTGTATTATATTAATACTATAATAAAAGTATAATTTTTACAGCAATAAATTTTGTCATATTTCATCTCAAAATTTAATAAATAACCCCCCCCCCCCAAAAAAAAAAATTTATCCTACCCCCATTAAAGCAGCTTATCCCCTACCCTCTCAAAAAAATAGGATGCAAACTGTTCCTACCCCTCCCGCTCATGTAGACGCTGGGTTCCTGGGTCATGATATTAACGCCAAGGGGATTCATGCTAATCAGGACAAGATTGAAGCAATAATTAA